TTTCTACTTGCTCTTGAGCCTAATACTATTCCTGTTTTGCTTCTTTGGTCATATCCTGCAAGCATGCCATATATCTTGACTAGAATACTACTAGCAACGTTTATCCACCACTTTTCTGAGAAAACCTACCCGCTTCCTGTGCTCTCTTTTTTCAATATGGGAGCATTCAAAAATATAAATGACCTAGCTACAGTGCGAAGTGGTCCATTCCATCTCAGCACCTAAGGATTCTGTTGCTTGTGTAGCCTTAATTAATAGACTAGGCCAGACTTCCCCAACCTCCTGATTGGATCAGACCAGATGTTAGGCTACAACTGCCACCATCCCTGACCATTGGCCATGCTGGTTGGGGCTGATGGGTGTTGTAGTCCTAAACATCTGGAGGGCATCGGGTTGGGGAAGGCTGCATTAGACTTTATATGCTGCCTTTCTTCAAAAGAAATTGCTTTTGAGGCAACTCACGATATACTAGGTATAAAAGACCCAGTAACAACAATACTGGCAAATAATAAATGTTCCAGCAAATACATTTAAAATAAAATAATGTTTCAATAACTATTAATAAAAATAAATACATTCTTAAAAACCTGAAATCTCTGCACAGAAATTGAAATATAACTTTGCAAATATTGCCATAATAATTAAGCTCAGTAATGGAAATTAATGCTCTGCCATCCCATTTTCCCACTCTAATTCCATCTTTCCCAGCTCATTATTATTATTATAATCAGCATTCTATGGGAAATGCTCCATGATTCAACAATGGCAACAGTGTAGCTCTTTTGGAACGAGTTGTTTTCCATCCACCCCTGCTCCTCCTCTGAATTCCATGTTCTTTGCAACAAGTATCAGTTAATCCAATTAATTTGCATTTCCCTGTTAGCTGGTTACCAATGTACACAGGTGCCTCAATACATTAAGCCCAAACTTAATGTGAACTTATGCACAATTGCAGTTTGCTTTTGTGTGGTGTTTTGTCAATGTGTGTTTGTAAACCGGTCATGTGAAGGGGGTCTTCTCCCCCAAGCAACAACAACAACAACACTAGAACATAGAAGAGCCCTCCTGGATCAGGCAAAGGCCAATCTAGTCCAGGATCCTGTTCCCACGATGGTCAACCAATGGCCTATGGCTGTTGCAGGACCTGAGTGCAACAGCCCTCCTCCTCATTTGTGATTTCCAGCAATTGATATTCAGAGGCACTTTGCCTCCAGCAGTGGAGGCAGAACAAGGGGTTGTTCTTAGTGCTTTCTTGCCACTTCAGAAACAAGACCGAACAATTTGGAGCTTCAAAAACTCAGGAAAAAAAAGATGGAATGGAATTTTCCAGAGCATCCCTAAAGTCCTTTGGGAGTGGCAAGGCAGGGATTAAACTCACAAAGTCTATTCAGACATAACACCACAGGAGCCCGAGGGCTCAATAACATATGAATGCTGCCTACATCTCCTGCCAAACTACTGGGGAAATGCAAGACTGAGAGTAAATGTTCACACTTACTGAGAGGGGGAAAAAAACCATCTCATGGTTCACAAAAGAAGTGGATTTCCTGTAGGTCAGTGCTGAGATCTTTGACAGTGCAGTGTGGAGAAAATTTATATCATCTCTATTCTTATCTGCCGTGGCATGTGGATAAATTGAGAGGAGTTTGCAGTACTGCTTGTCCTTAACCTTTCGGAGCATAATATTCAGAAGGAAGTCATAAAAAAGGCATTATGTAGGCTGAATTTATTCAAAAAAAACCTTTATACCTTGAACTTTGCTTTATATTGGAATGTATGGCGCTGTGTGTGTGTGTCCCAATTTTCCTTGAATTACCCCAGTTTATGTGTGCATATATGTACATGTTTTTGCCACCGAAATTTCATTACTATTCACAGTTGGTGCTCTGTGACTTTAATTAAAAATGAATTCTTAAACAATTTCCAAGCATACAATTAGCCACGTACAGTTTCTGCTGCGAACAGTCATTTAGCGATCCCCATATTAATATTTTATTATTTCTTCCTTCACTTTTGCATATGTAGAAGGAAGCAAATAAATAAATAAATTCAGAATACTATGCTTTGGGTAAATAGCCACCAATAGCTGTGCTTGGAAGGAACGAGAACTAATCCATAAACCGCCTGCCTCATTGTGAAGCTTGGATGCAAACATGCCATAGGCAAGCAAAGTGCCCTTCTGAAACTAAGCTTGAAACATGAATGTGGAGCATTATCTATCTTTGTATCCCAACCAATCTACCAGTGATTTAAAACAAGAACCAAAACACAACCATCCTTCAAAATCCATACTTCTCTGAATTTTGCAATGCAGTTCTCCAGTAATATGTGCAAAAATGCATGCGCTGGAGTAAAGTGTCCACAAATATGCATATATTAGTGAAAATAACTTACAGATGCATTATTTTAGGGATAATTGCTTTGCAAAAAAAGGTGTCTATTAGGCAATGCTGCAAACAAACGTTTACATTTGGAGAACTTTGCATTACAGTGCTGAGCAATTCATACGAGGACTTTAATTTTCTTTTTGTAAACGTGGAAATGAGAGCAGAACTTTAGATTAGAAAAATAAGCAATTTAGAGAAATAAAAACCTATCTATCCCACTGTTCTTACATTCTGGAGCGCATGACAGCTTCAGATAATACATCGTTAAAACAACCATCTAAAATAAATCATTAAACAAAAACAACAAAAAAGGAAGATCAATGCATCATCATAAAATATAGCACAGCAACCACATGTTTAAATAAGGGACCACACTCCTGGCATAGAAGAATGAAGAACCAAATGTCTGGATAAACAGAGATGCATGTAACTGTTATACTGCCCTGTGTCATGTCGTCGCCATCCTGATTTCTGCCCAGGACAGAGCCATGAGCAGGGTATCAACTGCTGATTGTAAAAGCCAAGTCAACTGGTAGCATGGAAGGTGGTCACTCAGGTTCTTCGGACCCCAAATTTTTCACAGCTTAATATGCAAATAGCAAGACCTTGATTTGGGCTTGCTAGCACACTGACCGAGCCTTCAAAACCAGAATGATATGATCGTTCTGCCCAGACACTGAGGTCTAGTGCCAAGGGCCTTCTGGCAGTTCCCTTGCTGCGAGAAGCCAAGTTACAGGGAACCAGGCAGAGGGCCTTCTCGGTAGTGGCACCCGCCCTGTGGAACACCCTCCCACCAGATGTCAAAGAGAAAAACAACTACCAGACTTTTAGAAGACATCTGAAGGCAGCGCTGTTTCGGGAAGCTTTTAATGTTTAACAGACTATTGTATTTTGATACTTTGTTGGAAGCTGCCAAGAGCTGCTGGGGAAACCCAGCCAGATGGGCGGGGTATAAATAAATAAATCATCATCATCATCATCATCATCATCATCTCTCCTCATGGTTCACATAACTAGTTGGAGCATGGCACACTGTACCAACTGCAGTGTCCAAACCGTCTTCAAGGGTAGCCCTGGGGTGTTAGGGACACAGGTGGCGCAGTGGTCTAAACCACTGAGCCTTGGGCTTGCTGATTAAAAGGTCGGCGGTCCGAATCCCCACGACAGGGTGAGCTCCCGTTGCTCGGTCCCAGCTCCTGCCAAAGAAAGCGAAAGCACACCAAAAAGTGCAAGTAGATTAATAGGTACCACTCTGGCAGGAAGGTAAATGGCATTTCCGTACACTGCTCTGGTGTCGGTGTTCCACTGAGCCAGAAGCAGCTTAGTCTTGCTGGCCACATCACCCGGAAAAACTGTCTGCGGAGCGGACAGACGTGGGCTCCCTTTGCCTGTAAAGTAAGATGAGAGTCGCAAAGGCTCAGAGTCGTTCACGACTGGACTTAACTGTCAGGGACCCCTTTACCTTTACCTGGGGTGTTACCAGTGATGAGTTAATAAGCATACCACTCCATTAATTAATTAATTAATTAATTACCTGAAACCACCAGTAATTGCTTACTTAATGTAAGTAGGAAATGCTCAGTTTTCAGTACTGAATGAGATAGGCTACTCGTCAGGATCCTTGTGCTTCTAATGTAATTTGTACTATGTACTATGCTGCAAACTATTAACTGGGCCACATTTCTCAGAAGATATTTCTGAGCTGGAACTGTTCTGCCTCCAACAATAGATGTCCCATCATTAGAATTCATTTGCTAAGACTTCTCTCCTGTAATTATGTCCGATTCTTTATCCATCTTCTTCACCTCAGTTGAAGGGGCATCATTGGGGCTGCGAGAGAAATGGCCTGCTTTTTTTGTGGGGTGAGGCAGTTTTTCTACACTTCAGAATATGCATCCTAATAGTAGCCGCCTAAAAACATCAGACCACAGAACCCCCAAATATCCTGATACGTAACCCCCAGTTTTGACATTGAGAGTGCGAGGATTCTTCAGCCTCTCAGACAGGTTTTTGTTGTTGCTGCTGTTTTTATTTTTATACTGCTTTAAATTTTGAAGAAAAAAAAATCTGAAAGTGGTTTACAACATCAAATAAAACAAGCCAGAATAAAACATTACAGAAGAAAGTCAAACCAGAAGTAGACATTCAACTTTTAGATTTATCATTGTACTGCCATGGTTAATCTAATGGCCATACGAAAGGAAAACCACACAATCCATAGAAATGCTAAACCTCATTTGAAAAGGATCGCAGGTGCTCCCAAACTGGGAGAGATATGAGCCATAAGCTTTTGTGACTTTCATGTGACCCAGTGGTGGCCGTCATATTTTTTGTGTGTGCTCAAAATTCCTCTTCAATGACACCTGGTGACAATGTAGTGTTTCATATGTGCTGCTAGGGAACAATGTCATAATTCGTATCTCCAAACCTTTATTAGGCATTACAGAGATAGATGTTGTACAAGATGTCATAATTCACATATGTTGCTTGGGAAACACTTTTCAAAAAAATAAATAATAAATAACAGCTTGGGGTAGAAAGGAAACAAACTAGGACTTTCATGTGCATCACAATGTTCTCGGGATAACATACTTCTCAATATTTTTCTTCCAGACATTCGAGATAGTGGGGGGCCCAAACCTGTGATGGTGTATATTCACGGAGGGTCCTACATGGAAGGCACTGGAAATTTATATGATGGCAGTGTGCTGGCAAGCTATGGCAATGTGATAGTCATCACCGTCAACTACCGGCTTGGGGTACTTGGTAAGAAAGATTCAGATTTTAAATAGTTCTTGCCTTGTGCGATACTCTTTCTATCGATTAGAAGACAATTTGCAGATTCTTCTGCCTTAAAAAAAGCGAGAGGCTTCTTTTTTAAAAAAAGAGGAAAGGATTGCATTCAGTGGATTTCAAATTTGTTATTGTGCAGCCTAACGTGCAATTATACTCCTCTTTGATGACAGAAGCAGAGTGCAGATGTTCAGAATGATACGCTGCTTTGTCGTTTGCACTCATCCTGTATTACAGTAATTAGTTGTGCAGAGGGATCTACAGCAAATGGCAAGCGCTGACTGAGACGCAATTGTTTCTGTTTGTGATGTGACAAACGTCTGGATATTGTGCTGACAGGGTTATTGTGTTCCTTCGGACTTTTGGATAGTAAGATTGTTTGGGAAATGTTATTCACTGCCATTTTCCACCTTCTCATATTTTGAATTTAGTCTGGCGCCTTTTAAGTGGAAAGTGTATTAGTTAAAAAAAAAAATTCCAGATAAAATAAGCTTGTGGAAGAAAAGGTATTTTGAAGCTCTGTGCTTGGAGGGGGGAAAAATATTGTACTAGTGTTGTTTTATATCACACAGGTAAAATACATTTCAATGAAAAGCTGTGTTTTAGTTAGCTGATGTTTGCAAAAGTTTAGAGGAGTTAAGATCTTTTATGCTTTAGTCTGGAGCTTTCGGAGTGTTTTTAGCTGTTGTAGATTTTGGCAAAGAGAGAGGTTGTTTTCTTCTGAATATTTCTTGCAGAAGCACATCGTAATGCATGTTTAATTCTAGCATCTGACGGTGTTATCACCTTTTTTATGGAAGCATGAGAGGAGCATCTACCCATAAAGCCTCAGAAGAGTTTGGGCAAGAGGTGGTGTGTTTTAGAAACTGTGGTTTGCCTCACAGGTTTGTAAACTGTGGTTCGCCTGTGAATTACCTTAGCCCTAAGAGAAGACTCTTTTTGCTCTATCATAAGTTAATTTCTTCAGAACCCGTCTTTCTGGCTGCTCCACTTAATTCCCTGTTATTAACTCCCAGAGAGTGGGGAGCAGCAATCTGCTGCTTTTACCTGGCGATTAAAAAAAATGATGCACTGTCAAGAAAATGAATTTGACTTGCTTTGGTGTTCCTGCTCATCTCTGGCTTTGAATGCATTCTAACTCCAGTCCTTGAAACATGGTATAATTTTTGTTGCTTCGCCTGACAGTCCTCTCCTTTCCACTTGCACAGGGAACAGTGCAATCTAATAGCTGTGTGTGACACAATGTTCAATGTCCAGACCCTGCTATGATTTGTATCAGATTACTTTCGCAGAGCCTACCTGGTGTCTTCATTGTTTTCTCAGAGCAATTAAATATTGACTTGGAACCTCTAGGGCTATGTTGTGCAATAATTTACAATTCACTTTTGTTGTCGGTATGCAAGATCCTCTTTCTGCTTAGCATACGTTTCCAGTTCCTGATTTGTGTGAGTATATTGTGCTGCAATTCTATTTAAAGAGCACCCACCTGATACAATCTTAATCTATTAGGTGGAGTGGGCAATCAAATACCTGTAATTTCTTACATAATACCTATCTAATCTGTCTGTCTATCTGTCTATCCATCCATCACAGACTTGAGTTGTGGGAAGAAGCACTTGAGTTGTGTGTGTACGCACACGCGTGCGCGCATTGCTGCATGCCACCCCAATCTGTGAGTGGTGTGATATTCCAGGGGTTCCTGGCACTTACCCAGGATTCGTGTTTCCTTTGGAAGTGAGGCACAGCGGGGACTGTGGTGTCTTTATGATATATGGTTTATTTACACGTATATACAACCAGAGCCTACAATGGAGGGATTCACAGTATTAACGCTCCAAGAGGGTCTCGTTTCTCCCATTGCCGGAACCTTGGATTCAAACAGAAACCAAACATCTCTCTCTCTCTCTGCCTTTTTGCTGCTTTATTTCTACTGTAGCTCACATCACTTAACTCTCAGCTCTTGCCATTGTCCTTTTCTAAGTGCCAGCCAGCTGAGGGATGGGGAACACTCATTTCCATCTCACACAGATCCACTTCCTTTGTTCCCCTTAGTGGCCCATTACCCAGGGGATCACCTCATCGGGAAACTGGTCTGGCTTATATTTTAACACTTGTTGGATCCAGGGAATAGAAGGGTCTCAGCATACAGTTTATTCACCTCCCCCAATGTGTGTGTTTGTGTGTGTGTGTGTGTGTGTGTGTGTGTGTGTGTGTATACATACATACTGCCTGGAGAACCCTCTTGTGCTGCTCAGCTCACTAGGGAACATCTGAAAGTGGTGGGAAGGTTGCTGCACTGCAGAAAACATTTGAATTTTACTTAGTTCTCCCTTCCCCTTTTTTTCTTACTGCTTGGCTGATCCAGCAGGAGGGCACGTTGTGGACCATGTAAGATTAGACAGTGGGCCTGAGGAGAGCAGATTGCACACTTCTGAACAAGAAATAGAAGAAAAAAAGTAATTTTTTCAGACTATGTATGGTGACAGGAGAATGTGCATAATGCATGTATATACAACCTGAGAATGTACAAAAATGATGTCAAAATATGCACATTATCCAAAGTCAGTTGGGGATTATGCACAGTGGCCAGAGAATGTATGAAATTCTGTCCATACATGCAGATTTCCCAAGCCTGTGCATATTGAAAGTGAAATGTGCACAATTTTATTTTCACAGAAGGATTATGTGCACATTATCCATGAAAATGGGTGAATGTGCACAATGGCTAGTTATGCACATTAACCGCTCAACTTACAGTCCCCTTAACATATGTATTTTGTAAACTGCCTATATGTATTGATGGTGAAGCAGTATATAAATCATTCACACACACAGAGAGAGAGAGAGAGAGAGAGCCATGATAAATAATCCACAAGACACTGACAAAGTCAGTGAGCCAACACAACACATGTTTTCTCCGGCTCAGCAGATCAAGTATCCATTTGTTGCTGCCAAAAACTGGAAAGGGGGAATTTGTGGTGATGAATTCAAGAGTTCTCCCTAGCACCATTATGATTAAAACCCATATCTCTGTGTTGAATTTCAGGCCCGAGCCATAATGGACTCAATGCCAGCGCTGCCCCCCTCTCCATTTCCTGAATTTAACTTACACTTGAGATGTGGAGACCACATGCAAGGCAGGCTGGTTGGTGATTTCAGAAACACCATACTCTCCAACATTTCTTCAATGAAAATAAGGACGTCCCATTCCATAATGATAACTTTACTATTTATACCCCATACATCTTATTAGGTTGCCCCAGCTCTTTGGGCAGCCTCCAACATATATGAAAACATCATTTAACATTTTTTAAAAACCCTATACAGGATTGCCTTGAGATGGCTCAGGGGTTGGATAGCTCCAGGCCCTCCAACATTTCTCCAATGCAAAGAGGGGCGTCCTAAGGAAAAGCGGGACATCCCAGGATCAAATCAGAACTGGGATGGCTTCTCTAAACCAGGGAAGTCCCTGGAAAATAGGGATACTTGGAAGGTTTGGAGACCTGGTAGGCCTCATTCTTAACACCTAGTTGCTTATGAGCATGCTCAGAAATGTGTGGCCCATTGCAATGCATCGATCCAGTGCAAATTTGTTTGTTTATAAGCATTCCTAAATAACCTGTGATTTAAATATCCCCAAAGGTGCAGGAAAAATAGCATAGAAACATAAAACAGGATCATAAAAAAGTAAAATGTTGTTATAAAAACAAGTAAAAATGGACAGGTGAAAATATTTATATGAGAATATTACATATGTGCTAATAGGGATAGGGGTCCTGATTAATCAGGAGGCGTGTGTATATCTATATCTAGATACCTAGCTAGATCTATGATCAGTTTTCCATTTAACAAGTTGAAATTGTCTCTGTGATGTGAGAGGAAACATATTTACTGGCCTATAATAGTTCTGATTTCTTGTTCTGTGGCTCAGGGTTAATCTTGCTGGGTAACTCTTATCATGACAATCTTGAAAAGAAATCACAGCTCATTTTTTTCGTACCACTTCTACAGTCTGGTGATTTAAGGAATAACAGCCATCACTTATCATTTCTGCCCTGACTCATTATGAGCTCAATAGATACTGCCAGGAGAACTGCAACCCCCCCCTTTTTTTTTACTATGTCAGATTTTAGCAATCCAATTTTAAATAATCACTGAAGATTCAACAGGTCTCAAGGGGGGAAAAAGCCCAACTGAAAATATTTTCTGCAACTACCACCTCAACTGGCACTGCTTTTGCATTTCCATTGCCTCAGGTAAGTTTCCTGAGCCAGCAGAATGGTGGCTTGAGTGATAAAGGAAGGCAGCCTTGGGACTGGGGTAAGTATGGCCCTGATTCACTTCCAGGAACAATCAATCAGAGCAGTTCACATCTGAACTATTGAGATCTCATGACATCCCTAAACACCACCATAGCTTTGTCAACTCTGTGATACGAAACACAGCAGTGATGAATCAGGAAGCCCCTTTAGGCGTGTGGAGCAGATCTTTTCACAGCAAGGAGCACTTTCCGCCTCTCCCCTTCAAACCCACCATAATGAGAGAGCTTTGAAAAACAGGTTGCAGGCGGTTCATCTAGGGAAGCAGGAGAGTAGAAAGACAGAGTTCTGTGCTGTACATTAATCCTACCCTCTAATTTCTGCTGTGTGTGGTCTTCACGTGAGAATAAATCTCACTGGAATCAATGGATCCTATTCCCATGTTCCATGTTTTTATTTCTGATCTTACTATATAATATTTTCTTAAGAATGTCGTCATGCTGTAGTTTTCAGTGCCTGCAGGGGGTGCTCTCCTCTTGAGCAATCCATTCTGGCAGCAAAGGGCAAATAAGACTGCTGTGGTCAGAGATTGGCCGCCTTCTTATTCCCCACACCTGTGTGCTTCCAGACTTTCTCTCCTCCACTAGCTCTCTTCCATGGCTTGGCGGGTGGGGTGTGGAGAACTCAGCACTTTGCTCAAGCAGCTGCACCAAA